TCTTGGAAACCCTACATAGGGTCAATGACAAAAAATCAGGACAACAAACCCCCGGTCATTGTGTTGGTTCTTGAGCGGCTCTGTGCAGTGTTTCCAAGACTTTGCAGGAGCAGACAGCTTTACCTTTTCCCCTTGGAGTGACTGGTGGGTTTGAACTTCTGAGTATTTTAAGCGTGTAACATACGTGGATCTCCTACTAATTAGATTTTAATTACTAACTTAATAGACTTAGCGACTATTTAAATGCTCACCTCTCCCTTTGAATGACCACATCACCTATTTTATAGACTCTGAAATAACAAAATTTTCAGAGGGAGCTTTGTTGTAAACCTAGGAAGCTAGAGCTGATCCTATTCTTTTTTTGACTGCTTGCCAGGAAATTGTTAGCTCAGATCTACCTCGGGGACTTGCCTCTTCTTGTCCTCTGCGTTCAAATGGGAACATGAAATAGAAGTAAACAGTCTCGGGGAGACAGGAGACTGTCTTGCCTCTGCTTCTGGGTCCAAGTTTGGCCTCTTGCTTCCCCCAGAACTCTGTTTCTGTCTTAATCTAGTCCTTCAAATACATGTATCATCGCTCTCCCAGCCACCCTCTGTAAGGCCAGAGTTATTTTTCTTATTTTATAGATTTGTAGATTGAAGCTTAGGGAAGGACCATTGGTCAATGAGAGCCCTGCATAAAGTAAGTAGTGTGAGCAGGATTTGGGTCCGTGGCCTTTCAGGAACAGGAGATGCAGTTTGTAATGTAACCATTCTGTTGATGGGTTTTTAAGGTTCATGATGTGGTTGAAGGATTGCAGCACACATGTAAACCAAAACCAAACCAACTCAGACCATTGCTGTTGACTTAACTCTGACTCCTAGTGATCCTATAGGGTGGAGTAGAACTGCCCTATAAGATTTCCAAGGCTGTGAATCTTTTTATTTATTTATTTTTAAATCATTTTGTTGGGGGCTCTTACAGCTCTTACAACATTCCATACATCCATTGTTTTTTTCAATCATTTTGTTAGGGGCCCACACAACTACTATCCCAGTCCACATATACATCAATTGTGTAAAGCACATTTGTGTACATTCATTGCCCTTATTCCCCAAAACATCTG